AAACCCTTATCCATTGGAAATCTAAATCTCAGATAATAGAGTTGGCAGCTACAGCCTGTGGCTGGCGGAGAGAGAGGGCTCTGGCAATTATTTTATGTGGAAGCAAATTGATTATAATTATTTTACCTTTTTTAAGGAGACAGCGTGACTGAGAGATGACTCAGCACTCGTGTCACAGCCACTTTACGCGTGCCACGTGTATGGCCCTTTTCCGTAATTTCGCACCTGTGAAGAGTAAAAATGGAATCAGAAACACACAGAAAATTTTGTCTGTTTGGATAAGTGGATAAGATCCAGCAAAAAAGAAAAGGAATTCCACTAAAAATGATGGAATTAATAAATAATATTCAATTAACAAATAAATAAGTGGTTTTAAATGCGACGACTACGACTGCCAACGCATCGCAAGACGGACTTACGGGCCCACCACCCAACAGTCAATGACACGTCATCACGTGGTATTTAATTAGATTATTGAATGGTCTTAATCTAGTGGTTAATAATTAATATGTTATCTTTTTTAGAATAGAAAAATACTTTTCTTTTTTTTCTTTTTCGAATTGACAAAAAAGGAGTAATTACGTGGCACATCTTTGGCCTTCTGAATGTTTGACACGTGGCATGACCCACTTGTTACTTTTTCCTTTTTTTCTTTTTCTTTTACGACGGCGTTTTCTATATAAATTCAAGCTTCCCCACTTCTCTGGCTTTCATTTCAAGAGCTCCGTCTTACCTTTCGCAAAAAGCTATCTCAATTCTTCGTTTTCTTTTCCTTTGTGGATTTCGGGATTCCCGTTTCGAATTTCTTAATCTTGCGTGTGGTTTTTTGTTTTGGTTGAAAGATTTTGTTTGAATTTCCGCTTCTTTTTCCCGATTATGGAGGTTTCGGTGATCGGAAAATCTCAGGCGAAGATCGGAGGAGTCGATCTTGGTGCTAGGGAGTTAGGGTTTTTTAATTCGAAAGTAGATAGTAAGAACTTCAGCTCGAAGTCGAAGATCTACTTCGTGAGGAGTTCGAAGTTCGAAAGCTCCAGAATCCGATTCTCGACGAAAGCAGTGCAGATGGAACCGGTTCAGTCCCAAAACGTCGCCGTTGGTAGAAGATCCAAATCCGTGAGTACTATTTTACTTTCTTGTTATCGGTGTTTTTGCTAATTTTCCCCTTTGATATCGTCATGTTTGGGTGCTGAGAAACCTTAAATCTTTAAGCCATCAGGTCAATGGATGATGTTTACAATTAAATTAGCAGCTGGATTAACACGGGAACTTTGAATAGGAAATGATCCTGAAACTGTTTGAACTGTTCCTCCAGCTATGATATCATATTCAATCACAACTAAATTGAAAAGTTTCAGTTAGTAATCTTTATAGTTAAAATCAATAAAACGAATCTAAGTATGAATAAGATTCTTATTGTAGTGGTTTTCAGTCTTTATAACGTGTGAGGCGATAACCTACTGTTCTGTTCTTCATAATTCTTTAGTGTTCCAAGTTTACCATATGTTGATTTTAAATTTTTACTTGCTTTAGGTCATTACTCATGGGATTCTGCTCACTATTTTGCAGCTTGATGGGGTAAAATTGTATGTCGGTTTGCCGTTGGATGCAGTTTCTACCTGCAATACAGTTAACCATTCTAGGGCAATTGCAGCTGGTCTCAGGGCTTTGAAGCTGCTAGGTGTAGAAGGTGTCGAGCTTCCCGTTTGGTGGGGAATCGCCGAGAAAGAAGCCATGGGAAAATATGAATGGTCGGGCTATCTCGCTCTTGCAGAGATGGTTCAAAATGCAGGTCTGAAGCTACATGTTTCACTCTGCTTCCATGCGTCTAACCAACCAAGAATTCCTCTCCCTGAATGGGTCTCAAAGATCGGCGAATCTGAACCGAACATATACTTTACCGATCGTTACGGGCAGCAATTCAAAGATTGCTTATCGCTCTCGGTGGATAATGTTCCTGTCCTGAATGAAAAGACTCCAATCCAAGTTTACCGTGAATTTTGTGAGAGCTTCAAGTCTTCATTCTCAAATCTCATGGGCTCTACAATCTCGGTAAGAACTGTTCTTTCGCAGATTGCATCCATTAAGCCTCCAGTTTATGCTTTTCTTTGGGTTCTAATACTTTATGTTGCCATTTGATCAATTTCAGGGCATTTCCATGAGCCTCGGACCGGATGGCGAGCTTCGATATCCTTCGCAGCGACAACTGAAATCACATGGAGTTGGAGAATTTCAGTGCTATGATGAAAACATGCTTAGCCATCTTAAGCAACATGCCGAAGCAGGTGGGAATCCTTTATATGGACTCGGAGGCCCCCACGATGCTCCGAGTTATAACGAAACGCCAGACTCGAACAATTTCTTCAAAGATCATGGCGGTTCATGGGAGTCTCACTATGGGGATTTCTTCCTTTCATGGTATTCTAGCGAGCTAATCGCGCATGGGGATCGCCTCCTCTCTCTTGCCTCATCCGTCTTCAGCGACATTGAAGCAACCATACATGGAAAAGTTCCACTGATGCATTCTTGGTACAAAACTCGATCGCATCCCAGTGAATTAACTGCCGGGTTCTACAATACCGCCAACAGAGATGGATACGAGACAGTCGCCGAAATGTTTGCCAGGAACTCAAGCAAGATGATCTTGCCTGGAATGGACCTATCAGATCAGCATCGGCCTCAGGAATCGCTTTCGAGCCCCGAGTCACTAATAGCACAGATCAAGTCAGCTAGCAGAAAGCACGGGGTAATGTTAGCAGGACAGAACTCATCCGATTCGGGGGCTCCTGGGGGCTTCGATCGGATAAAGAACAATTTGGAAGGCGAGAGCGTAGAGTTGTTCACATACCAGAGAATGGGAGCCTACTTCTTCTCTCCAGAGCACTTTCCCTCTTTTGCTGAATTCGTCCGAAGCGTCCATCAGCCTGAACTGCATTCCGATGATCTTCCAGTGGACGAGGAAGAAGAAGAAGCTGTCGAGACTTCGCTCGCCAGTTCCGTGCCCGAAGCGCAGATGCAAGCGGCATAAGAGAGACCGGAGAGTAACGTAGTAATGTAAATATGGAGCGTATAGGTAAGATCGTTGATTATAAACTGCATTATGAAGTTTGATAGCAAAAGCTGTGAATAAGTAAAGCTTGAGAATAGTGGCTTAGATTTTTGAGGATTTATATATATTACCGTCCTCCAGAAAGCAGCTATGCATATGCTTCTGCTTGTGATTCTAAATTAGATGTCCAGAAAGATTCTGGTCTACTTCAAACCAAGAGATACTTCAAGATCATATTTTGATTTATTAAATTTCAGTGATTTGGACAACTTAACATAGATTCTATAATATTCAAACCTTTTAGATTTGCATCATCAAATATGATTAGAAGGGGCAAAACCAGAAAAGGAATGAAAATGTCTGTCATTAAAGCGAAAATCTGATTTAAAACAGTCAACACTGCCATTCAACTTTTTTCAGTTGAAAGAAAAAAAATAAAAATTCATTATGTACACAAACTGGAAGAAATATACATATCACAAACAAATAAAAAGTCTTAAAATTTCGCAAGTTTCTCTGCGATTCATTCCCTCATTAAAAAAAAACCCCAAAAATTGTAACCGCTGCAAAGAAACCACCACGAAAGGAGCAACTTTCTACGACTTCGGAATCAGAACATAGCCCTTCTTTCACTATCGCGTTAACTTACCATATAATATAATATAATATATATATATATATAAAAACGATTTTATTGCCAGAAGCCATTAGCAGACCTTCAAGCTCAGTATCTTTTCCCTGCATCACAAATTGAGCTCAGAATCAGTACTTCTTGTAATAAATAAATACACAGAATGCTTATGCACTAAATGATGGTTTTGTATCTTATTAGCCTGAAAAATTCACAAGACAGCACAAAAGTTTTTTTTTTTTTTTGAAATCCGTGTGTCCGGGCCAGCTTGCGCGCACCTCGACTAATCACGGGTCAACCGCCTGACCCTACTACATTTAGTTAACAAGGTAACTCGTAGGATATTAAATCTGATGGCCACCATGGTTTGAACTCATTCCCTCTAAATCCTTTGCTATTTACATTGGCCCTCATTGACCACTTGAGTCATCCCATGATGGTTGACAGCACAAAAGTTATCGTGGTTACGTCGCAGTAGATGGGGAGGATTGATTCAATCACATAGTTTGGGCTCCTCGAATATGGCACCCTTGGAGCTTCTATTTGATTGTATCGAAAGGCTAGTGAATTGGAATTTTCTTATTGGGCTTGCATAGCACAATTCTAGACACGAGATGGATCTTCCAAAGGCTGGAAGAAGCCTTTTCGAATAAGTCAATTCATTTGGAATCCCATAGATCCACTATTTTTCCTAGTTAAAGATCAACCTTTTATTTCTATGTTTTCACATCAAGAATTATTTGCAGACGAAGATATGTTAAAGGAGCTGCTTAGGTTCCAAACAGATCTTTCTACATCTATGTATAAATGCTGGTTTATCAAGAATATGACTAGGAAGCTGATCAATCCTGACCCACCAGATGGGATGGGGATGGGGGTATTTTGATAGAAACAATTCTGAATAGGCGAATACAAGTAGCAACAATCTAAGAATATGTCAACAACTAGCAAAAAGAACCAAAAATTGAGAACATAATGACATATAGATTGTACACTGGAAACAGCACATGGACATGGCCATTTAATGTCACAGCATAAATTCAATAGCTTGAATATATGAATTCACCGGTATACTCGGATTGACAAAATTTTGGATAAAATCTATCTTTAATAGAGTAGGGTAGATACTGAAAATCCACTTAAAGAATTTCCACCTAGCTTGTGCAAATTCATGATATTGTAAACTGTATATGATGCAATGGCATTTGTAAATAGCAATCCTAAAATAAACTCTTAAGATCATAATTGAATTGATAGAATTTTGACCTGTTAATGATGTGCCTGTCATTCACAAGCAATCTTTGTGTCAAAGCTGCTGAGGCAGATTGCAAAAGCCTGGAAAGCCGAGATTGGGTAACGATAATCCATTGTGAATAGATCCTTCCCCACTTTTCCAAACTGGAGGATGATCTTCTCATTTTCTTGCGTAGGCGGTTCGTTTTCCGGAGAAGCAACTAGTTGAAAATTTTTCACAGAAGCAATGGTAACTCTTCCATGAAAGTTCAAACACCAGCACTGAAGCTGCTCGTGCCACCTGGGAGTCTTGTTTCGGAGCACCAGCATTCCATCCTTCTGACTGCCCAAAGGCTCAGAAAGCAAGTTGTCTGCATTTGATTTTGACCTCAGAAACGGGAATGATGGAAACAATTCCACGTTGCTCAAAGAAATCTCGGTTTGCGTTGGAGCCACTCCTCCAGGTTCAACCGAGGAAGCGGGAATAGAATCCATGACACATTGCATTCTCCTCGGACCCCTGCTTGTTAATTACAAGAACCTTTAAGCATTAGGTAGACATTTAAAGAAAAATGCAGTCATCCAAACAAAGAATAACCATAAATCAGAATCCAATTATCTGATAGCCTTCGAATTACCTCGATCCCAGTACATTTAATTCATATGAAATGTGGGCAACTGGATAGTTCCCTGCAGGGGCCTTGGGTGAAACTTGTTTCAGATTCACTAGCCTTGTGGAGCGACTTTTTGTGATCTTGGCTCCAGAATGTGGTGGTTGCCCATCAAAGATTGTGAACTTGGTTCCTAGAAAATTAGATCTTTTCCCGGACGAAGGAAGAAAAAAAACTCTAAAAAACGCAATCCAAAATATACATCTAATCATGACATCACAAGCCTTCAAGAACAAACCTCAACTTCCCAACATAGGTGCTGCTCCCCTTTGACAAATCCTCAGCATGTAAAGAGATAACATAATCCGTGTAGGTTGGGCGCTTGCATTTGCGTGCAGCAAGTAGAAATTTCCCGTCGTCACTTAGTGCTGTGATGTAAACAAGAAAATAACAAAAAGTTACAAATATACCATTCAGACGAAGTTGAAACTTCGCAATACAAAGATAAAGCAAAGAAACTTCAATTTACCATAGCAATTCAATTACTCACCAGTAGTCAAACAGAGGAAAAGATAATAAGTTTGATTGGATCTGTTTCGCTTTATGAAACACTGTAGAAGAGGATCCCTTGGACCAGGCTGCCAAAAATGACCTCCAGATGTGAAAAGAATAATCTAAAAGTAAAAAATGTGAAACTAAACAAATGTATTGATCACATGCCAATTTGTGGGTAGACAAACAAGATATCTGAACTATCCAATTCAACATCATTTTGCTTCACCTACCCCTATTAGAAGAAAGCAGAATCTTCATGAACAAATGTAAATGAGAAGAAAGAAAGGTATTGGGCATAGGAACTTATGCAATACAAAGATATCAGAAGGAAATATGAAAACATAATCTCCAGCTTCTTCACTGAGTTTAAACTCTTGATTTCGCAGTGGATAAACTGTATCCTAAAAACGGATGTTTCTCAAAACAATGTTATGTTTTTAGCAAATCTGTGGTATTTGGCTTATTGTTAAGCCAACAATCAAATTCTAGACCAGATAACAAAACAAAAGTTGTAGGGAGTAGTGACCAAAGGAAACAAACACAATCAAATAATAAGGCGACTCCTTCACACAATCAAATCAGATAATATCAATTCCGTGATTAAACGAACGAATCATTTCCACCAAAATTTTAATTCTAAATAACCGACTCCAGAGTAAACAGCTTCTTGTGTCAACGAATTCTGCAAATTTAGCGAAAATTAAAAAAACAAACGACTTCCAATTCCAATTCGTTGAGTACCAAATAAACCTAATCCACCAAATCGTGCAAAGAGAGAGAAATCCCCAATTCAACAAGCGCGTGACGCTCACCTGCTTGACGGAGATCGGGAACGTCAACCTGCCGGAAATCTCCGGCGTTCTCACGATCTCCTTAGTAATGGCTCGCCAGCTCCGGCACACTCCGGCGCAGGCCACTACACTCTTCCTCGGCGGCCACGCAGTCTCGGAGGCCTCAATTCTGACCAGAACCTCCCGGAGCAGCTCCTGAGGCATATTAGCCCAGCAGCTCTGGTCGAGGCCGTCCCTCCGCTCCGGAGCGGAGCCGTCCTGCACCACTCGGCGCGAGCGGGACCTCATATCCTGGAAGATACTCTTGAGCGACATGGCTTGGCCGGATTTCTTCCAGAAGGCGAAGATCGTGGAGAAATTATCAAAGAGACACCAGAAAATTGCGAATTGAAGATGCGAGAGAGGCCATTGGAGCTCGGATCGTTGGTGAATGGCTATGGAGAATGGAAGAGAGTGAGATAAATTAATCTAAGTTGGAAAATTTTCGATGATTTTTCTTTTTTCCCAATTTTTTGTTTCTCAGAAACTTTTTTTTATTTTTTTTGTGAGAAGCGGAATAAATGAAAGAGGGGAGGGGACCCGGTACCGTATTTGGTGATTCTGATAATTGCAACAGAACGGGTCGCCCTGTTTATTGCTTCGAGTTAACGACGTAAATTAATTATAATTAATTGTAATTTTCTCAAAAAAAAAATTATATATATACATATACATACATACATACATATTACATACGAACCGATTCTCCAACAGAGGGAGAAAAAGAACCGGGTTGGATTCCATTTAAACCACTCCATCAGGTTTTTTTTTTCATATTTTTTTCCTAAATAATATGTTAAAATACGATCTTGTACTTATTCGAGTAAACCCTTGTTAGATCCTTTGAATAACTTATGTCTATTATAAACTATGGTTAGATTTTTTATATTTTCACTGTGACATTTTTAACATTATTTTTAGAATATTCATTTTCGTCATACTTTTAACTTTTGTTTATTTTAAGTCTATGTGCTTTTAAAATATTCATTTTTGTCTCTATTTGTAAAATTTTAATACAACTTTTATACACTATTACCTTTTAATTATTGAAATAGGTTATATTTCAATAGACAAATTGAGTGTGGTGCTGTGTTAAAATTGTAATCGAAGAAAATGAGATAAGAAATAAAATAAATAAACCAAAATGATCACTTTTTAAAAATATATGGATCAAAACGAATATAATAAATAAAAATTGAAAATAAAATAAGAAAAATAGATATTTTAAAAGTATATAAACAAAAATTGAAATATAGCGATGAAAATAGTATTTTAACCCAATCAAATGGTCCTTTACCCCACAACAATATTTTTGTTCATAAAATAATATTTTAATAATTATTACGAGCTACTTTTTTCTTTTTATACAATTTTGTATTGGTTGAATCAACTCTAATGCTTAAATCATATGACAATTTTGAGTGAATAATAGATACTTATAAATCAAATTTGTCACTCACGCGGATTGTGGTAATTGTTTTGTGTATAATTTGAGTTGCGGTACAAAAGACGTGTTGTCACGTGCGTACAAGATAGATTTTCGTATTTTAGCAATAATTGTGTGACTTTAACACAATGTGAACCAAACGACAAATGTATAATATCTTTTAAAATATTGATTTAGATCCACTCGTATAAGAGTATTTTGACAATATTTGTAAATTTTATACATTCAAATAATACGAGATATTTTTATTAATCATTTTATAGACTTCAATTAACCAATTTTTTGCTTCTCTATAAAGCTTTCATTATCAGTCCAACCAAACATAATTCTATTAGTTAAGACATTTATTTTGTATAAAAAAAAATCACGAGTTTGAATTTCCACACTCACATGTTATACTAAAAAATTTATTTATCTTTCAAAAAACAATTTAATATATTCTATTAAAAATCTTTAAAAATAATAATGAGCTTGGCAAGACCGCTTGGAGATTTTTTTTTGAAAATATAAAGATAAAATGCTTGCACAAACAATTGTATATTAAATAATAAAGCAAAGTAGCCTATTTGCTATTTTTTAAAGGCCAAACTTTCAATTTTTCATTCACATTAATTATACCCAAAAAAATGTCAAACAATAAATGTTTTTTCCTTCCAAATAATACATTTTTATTATTCATTATTAGAAAAAAAATAAAAGAAAAAGAAAAACTTTGACTTCTGCTATACAAGTTGGTTGGGAGGTTGAATTTGGAGCAAAATAATAATATTAATAACAAATAAAAATAAAAATACAAAACGATAATGAATGACTTGTGTCACGCACATTGCATTCTTTGTTTCTTTAACTATTCAACTCGTGAATTTAATGTTCGTTYTAAAAACCATTGTTGTTGATGATAATTAACCGTCCAAAATTAAAATTATACCAATAATATATATAGATAAATCTTTTTTTAAATCAGAGTGTTAAAAATATTTTGTTCAGAGTGAATGTTCGATCTCTCATCCTCACATATATTGTATTAAAAAAATCTTTAAATTAAGTAAAATAATTATACTTATTGACTAAAAACCTTGAATTGTCTTTTTTTTTCCTCTAATATTTTAAGTTAGGCTTGAAAACATTCTAATATGTTGTAAGTTTTAGATATCATTTCATGTTAAACTTTTTTTGTTCTAAGTTTTATAGTAATGTTGAGTTTTTTTTTCTTCATTTTTGTTTAATTATGTAGTTAGGTTCCGGTATTTTTTAGTTGAACTTAGGTGTTTGTAGAGCTATTTTACAATTTTTTTTTAATACTTTATTGATTGAACTACTAAGAACTTGATGTAGTTGTTGTGGACAAGTGAAAAAAGTAAATGAACTTTAAATAAATAGGTTCAAACTTTAAATTGACTACTTACCTACGACATAAAATACACGAGTTTTATGATAACCAAAAAAATCGTAATGTCAAGTTGTTGTCCTATAARATAGGTTGATTTATGTTTAAATTAGTTCGTATACTCGCAAATAGCAAAACTTTAATCTCTCACAGATTTCAAACTACAATTAAAAAAGATAAAAATAAATAAATAAATAAAATGATCCAATTAATAAATTGTCAACTAATTCATCTAAACAGATTAACAAATTAGTTTAGTTTATATATACATAATTATTTTTATTAGAATTCGAACCACAGTATTCTAATTAAAAACATGTGTCTTAATCTTGAAATCTTGAAAGTTCTTTAATAGTTTCTCCATGATTATTAAATATTTTATGGATTAGTTAGGATGGTTGATGATTGGAATGTCGGCCCCATGGGGAATTATTTTTCAAATAATTTAGTGAAATGAATGGTTGTAATTGTAATAGTTGTCTTCAAGACAGTTACATAAAATACTGGTTCTTTCTAGTTTTTTATTTTTGTTTTTCATTATTCAATACAATCTTATTTAAGTATCGACTTTTAGAGTATTTAATTATTACCCATTATTGATCTGTCAAATAGAAATATCGATAAAATGTTAATGACTTTTTTTTCTTTAATTTTTGCGAGTCTAAATCCTATCTAAACCTAATACCTATTCTAAATATAGGCAAATGTTATTGCRATAACTAAAATTAATATTTAAAAGTATTTTTAATAAATGTATATGTTCACACSAGATTTTTTTATAAACTATATTTCATGGGGTTTAACTTTTATATTGGAAGTTTTTTATGATTCGAATTTATTTGATATATGAATTCTTAGACTCCTCTTTTTGTAGAGTTTTCAACACGCTTAAGTGGACATTGGGCTTAACTAATTTTAGACTCAACTTATGAATTTGAGCTTTATTTGGGCTATGAGCTCGATTTAATTTGAAAGATCTCGGTTTGAGTGAATTTTGACTTAGCCAAATTCTTTAAATGGATTTATATTTATTCRAAAATTTAAATACCAATCCATCGTAATGGTCTTATGTAAATTTTGGTTTCGGAACTAAATATCATCTAATGAATTTGTGAAGTAAATTGATTTAGGGTCCATTTTGTATGATCAAATTCGACCAATTAAATCCAATCCAAATGGCATGAACAAAAACATTTGCATTATTTGAGAATTGTCATTTATTTGTTTTTAATTTTAATTTTATGATAAATTATAATCGACCCAAAATTTAATAAAATATAGTTTTACCAATAATGACGTGGTCGTTTATGRTTACCTCGAAATTTATGGTTCTGCAAACATTTTGAAATTTTATTTTCATTCTATAACTATTTTTTATTGATTTTTAATATTTTATAATAATTTTTGTATTGTTATCRTAGGGTTGTCCAAAAAGTATTTATTTTACAATTCCCATGGCAAATTAACATAATACATTCAACWTTTTGTAAAGTTGAGCATAATTCGATGAGTTATGACACCTATCAACTACCAAAAGATCGTGGATTCGAATGCCCACTCTCACAAATTATACTAAAACATCCTACCTTCGAGGTTGAGGAAATTTTTTCAATATTGTTAAAAAACTATTTATTTCATATTATTATTATTTTAAAACTAAATTTTAAAAAAAATTGTTGTTTTTATTTGAGTGAAGTTTGTTGTGTGTGTGTGTTTTTAAGATTTTTTTTTTTTTTTTAAGAATGCCGCATGGCAAATGAATTTAAATTATATCGCTTTGCTTACATGAAGCAAGACAGCTATTTAGACCAAATTTTCTCAATATTTTTAATATTAGTTTCGAACTAATTATATGTAAATAATTATTTTTTTCTATTGCAATATTAGAAAGAAAAAAAARTCCTGAGGTGTATGCAGARTGACTGGACCCACTTTCACCCCAGAATTGTCCATTTTGTATTCAGCCCAATCTGTTGGAAAGATTCGAGGGATGAGAACGCCGTCGCTTAGCGGGTTCGTATTTGTAAATGGAGTGAGAYGAGAATGATTCAGTTTAGCCGAATAGGAATGAATCAAAATGAAAATTCAATCTTACGAGTTTAAATCAAATTTGTTGGATAAATTTTTTTTAGTACAACATCTGGGATTGGGAATCAAAATCACAATCTTTTGTTCAAGATATATATCAATTATCATTGAACTACGTTTGTTTTGGCGGATAAATTAAAGCTTATTAAAAAACAAAGTTTATGAATTAATTATCTTACTGGAGACGTTTTAAATCAAGTTTTTCCACAATGCATGTAATTAATAAACTGTAAAAAAAAAGTTTTCACATTATTTATTGTCATTTTTATAATTATCTTTTTTAGTATAGGACTGCGTCATTTTCTACCTTTATTTTCAATCAATTAAAAGATCAAAACGTGTTTTTATACAAGGTTAACGAATTAAAATGTAACATTAAAGAAAAAGTATGTTTGTGCAAGAATTTGCACAATGATTCTTGAGCTCGAACCTGATCCTCGCTCCGACCCAGAAGGCGATGGGAAGACCTGCACAAGAAGGTAAAATCTCCGACGCTCAAGTCAGTAAACAGCTCGGACTCAATATTAAATTCGAGGAGAAAATCGATCCCTGATGGTGAAAAGAGACCCTCTATTTATAGGTTTAAGTCTCGACAAGGGTCACGACAGGCGGTTACATTGGTCGGTTTTGAGGTCGGA